CTCGCATGAGGTGGTTTTTCAGGCAATGCGAAAAAGGAATAATTCGCAAAACTGCAATGGAAACGGCTTTTTCGCATTTACAGGTCACATGGTGTATGTAAAAAGTCATATGATCATTCTTCAGTGTACTATAACCTCCAAGAAACACTTCATACGTGGCCGGTCTCCAGTATAAGGGGCTTTCCTATTAATGCTTAGACAATTTACACTGCACACGTCTGCGGTGCAGTGTGGCTCTGACACGGCCACTCTAGTCAATGCTTGTGTTTATTCCAGCTGCGCCACGCATGTTTCTGAAGCGGCTCTCTGTGCTGCTTCTGTAAAGATAAACGCGTACACCTCCTTTGAATAAATATAGGCAAAATCTGTTAAAATCCCACCAAAATCCGTTGCCATGACTTATCGCGAGAGGCAAAAGGTTACGTTTTAGTCGCATAACATTGGTTAATGGAAACGCCGTCATTTCGCAATACTTTTTTATCGACATTTATAAAATATCGCCAAAGTTTTGTGCAAATCTGTAATGAAAATGCGCCTATTGACTCTTTCTATATTTCATGCATGTAATCTGGAGAGATGAGTCATGGTCACCATTGAAATATACAGGAAATTGTAGTCACTTGACACTAGGGATGCACCGATACCGATACTGGTATCGGTATCGGGCCCGATACTGGCCTCCTGTACTCGTACTCGTTAAAATGCCCCAATACCAAACGCCGAAACCACACAGCATGAGATAAGCGCCATATTCAAACAGAAACACTGACAACAGACAGCAGAAAGGAGTTATGGATGTCTACTACGAAGTATATGTATGCAATGAATATAATATAAAACATTCACCACCAAACCCGCACCAACAAGGACTTTTCAAACTGCTGCACTGTGCTTCACTGAAACCTGGCTGAGTGAAGCCATTCCGGACAACGCGCTTCATCTGCCGGGCTACCAGCTGTTCAGAGCGGATCGCATCGCGGAGTTAACGGGGAAAACCAGAGGAGGTGGATTGTGTTTCTACATCAACGAACGTTGGTGTTCAGATGTAACAACGCTGAAAAAGGTATGCTGTCCTAATTTAGAGGCACTCATCATAAACTGTAAACCAAATATCGGTATCGGCATCAGTATCGGCAAGTACCAAAAATAAAAGTATCGGTATCGGGCGAGTACTGGAAAAAGTGGTATCGGTGCATCCCTACTTGACACTATATATGTTTCATGTGCCATCAACAGATGCAATTTCCATTTTGCTTTCCTAGCTGATGCAACCTACCCGGGAAGTTGAGGACTTCTTATAATCATGAGCTCCGATCTGCATCCCTCTGGAAGGCTGACCACGTCTGGGTACTTCTCCTGCCAAACAAACCGCCTGTTTATTAAAGGAATTAAAATCCTGACAGATTCCATCTGACCCACAGCAACCTGGTTCCAAAACAGTGGCCGATAACAAAACACATACGAACAAAATATGTGGAGAAATTTACATTTTAGATGATTGCGTAATTCTAAGTGGAAATACATTATTTGCTCCATAACAAGGCAAGAATACACTGAAGTCACAGTCTGAGACTGTTGTCTTAAACACTGAACACTGATGTCTTAAAGGAATAAATCATTCAAAAATGTTATAATTTATTCCCCCTCGTGTCATTTCAAATGGTTCTGACTTTTTCTTGAAACACAAATTGTGAATTTTCAAAAGCGTCCAGGCAAGAACATAATGAAATATTAAAATACAGTCAAAGTGAATGAGGACTAGGGCTTTCAGTTTCCAAAATCACCATAAAAGTCTCATAAAATTGGTACATAATTTGACAAATTGCTTTTGTTCCTATTTTGTAAGTTGCTTTGGATAAAAGCGTCTGCTAAAAGCATGAATGTAAATGTAAATTCAAAAGTCTTCTGAAGTCATATGATACTTTTATGTAAGAAACAGACCCCCAAAATTCATTTTTCATTGTTAATTTTATCACTGTAATGAGCTGTTCACTGTTGTGACTGGATCATTGAGACAGTAACATGAACCAGTTCAACCTAATTCCTTAACGAACCATTCAGACCAGTTTTGTAAACTAGACTCAATTATACTGATAAAGAATCTGGAATATTCCACAGAAATACACAGAATTTTACAACATTTTTATTTTTATGTGAACTAACCCTTTAATATACCAAGTGTTTTTAATAATTATTGAGCTGAAGACATTTAATAGTCATACCTTCAGGACTTTGAACCACAGAAGAGAAGATTGAATACACAGAACCATTTAATGCTGACAGTAAATAAAATAAAAGAAGAGAAATGTTTCCGTCTCTCTGTCTTTGGTAGAAACCACTAAATACAGTTAGAAATTATACCCTTACTTACCCTGTCCCTTAATTAGATATTAAAACATGTAAAGATACTCTGTATGTGTTTTAATAAGTAATTAAGACATCTAATTAAACTACTCTTAAATTTAACTCATTTGCCTGAATTTTAACTAGCTAATTAAAAACATATGATAATTCACACCATGTTACCACAATCAACCAGTACGGCCGTCACAAATCCCTTAGACAAATCATCAGACTTTCCCATTGGACATCAAAACTTTCCAGAATTTTTTCCTAATCCCCACATTACATAGTTGGGAAATGCTGTCAGTTACTCCATTAACTTGATGTTCCCTCTGGTAAACACAAAGACTTTCTCTAACAAGTATCTCGAAACCTGTCTGAATTTGTGTTTGTGATGTTCCTTATGGCCCAGTGAAGACTAAACACTGTTATGTTCTTAGAGCGAGACATTTACATTTTTGCAAATGTTTATTTTTATTCGTACACATTGATTCTGGTCAGTCGATGAGTTATGTAATTAGTTTTTAAGTCACAATGACTGTATTCTTTCCAGTTTGTTCTTTGCACACTTTTGGCACCGATTAAATTTATTTGATTGAAATATGGAGATGCAGATCGGCACTTATGCAAAACTTTTCTTTTACAAATACAAATTGGTGTATGCTTTTCACTCTGCACATACAAATGTTTTTGATTATAAATTTTAGTTTTTACATGAAAGATTTTGAATCTATTCAGAAAACTAGCATTTGCCAAGACTCTTAACCAATCATAAATATCGTAAATAACTTCATGGAGCTTCTGTTCAACAATTATTTAAAAGACACCAGTTTTTGGTAAATGTGACACCGGTCTGACCAAAGGCTTCAAGGCTTCCTTGAACTAAGCCATTAATTTAGCATCCTTTACACAACCTAACCATTATTTGAACTCTATACCTCTATTGTCTGATCCTGGAACGACATGTTATACTCCCCACTGATCCCTGTCAACAGTTATTAAAACACCAGACAGAACAACCAGTCTCTGGGCTTGTTCAGAGGCCAATACTGTCTGGATGTGAGGGATCGTCCAAAAACTTGAGCTGAGAAATCAGAAAAGCTGCAATTCTGGGACTCCAAGTACATTTTCAGAAACACTGGAGTTAAATGTTCAATCCTTTCTTCCAGCACACCACAGGTTGCACCAATTAAAGCATTGTTTAATGTACACCAAGGTTTGTTAACAGCGGATGACCCGAAACTGAATTGTTAATCTGAATGCCTCAAGGGCGATTTTGAGGTACCCAGCTAAAAGGAAAGAAACACAAAACCGCTGACTGCACACATGCCACTGCTGAGTACTTAAGCTCTCTGGCACAACATGAAATCTTCCATTATGTTAAAAGCTCCATAAGGAAATATACTGAACCAGATGCTGAAGCAAACTGACATTACCGCAGTGGAAAGAGATGTCTGAACGCAAACAAAAAATACAGTCCAGCATTTTGACAGACATTATCATGGTGCTAGGCATGTGTGTGAAACAACCTTCTCGGTCTCAAAGTAAATCTCAAATGGTCCGTGATATTATACAGACCATTCTAACCAATGGAATTCATCTGTGGAAATAGTGATTTTTTTAAAGACATCCTAAATTCAACATCCTCTAGTGAGTTTATTCAAGAAAAGAATGCTATGTTGGTTGAGAAACAGAACTAGAAGAATGTCCTATTCTCATAACTTAACAAGATGTGCGTAACAGAAAGTGCAGAAATGCATGAGGTAGAACCATTTTACTTCCATGATGCGACAGCATTTTCAAAGAAGTATGTAGGGAGGGACTTGATGTCGAAAAGTGGTTTCTGTAGGACAGGTAGTTTGGAAGGATGGGACTGAACTTGGGATTGACTTGTTGGCGTCATCTGAAAAGGAAAGTAATTTCAGAGGTGGAGCAAGTATGTTTATTTTGATGAAAAATACTGAAGATGATCTTTTTCCTTTGGATTCATGTACACCAATGAATCATGCACAATTAAGACCAGGAACATGTATAAAGAAAGTTCACACACAGCAGTTCAAACAGTGAACAGTCGCAGCTGTTCATTCCAGCTGGTTGAGTCACTGAGCTCCGGTCATTACCTGACGCCAAGTCAAAACATCCTACGGTGCTGAAACATCTTACACCATTAATTTCACAGTACAGTTAAACACTCTTTTGATCTACGTCTCGTGAAACTCATCTATATGCAGTTCTGTCGCTAAGGACCGATGAGGACTAGGCTGTAAAAACCTTTGTATATTGTTTAAAATTATCCCACATACACAGTACAACTCTTAGGTTACTTACACTACTAATCTTTTCGATGTAAGGAACGGTAACGCACTCGGTCATGTAAGAGTGATATCAGCTTCAATCTAAGGCTGGATGTGTTTGCAATTTAGCATCTCAAGGTAAAAAAAAAAATCTGGAGATCGTTTTATTTTGAAAGCTCTGGAAAATGTCAGTAAAAAAGTATGCAGTCATTTCTGCTCATTAAAGACTATGTGGAGTTTAATCAGTTATTTACAAAAATGTCAAACTTTAAAGAGCATAAAGAGTATTTGAACTACCTTTTACCATTGCAAACATTTAATAGTTTAATTCAAAAACAGGTTAAACTTAATCAGTTGATTTGCCAAATCTTCAGCCATCATCTTCACGACGATTGGCTATTAAACTACACAATGTATTTAAAAGATATTTATTTGTCTACAGACAATGAATCAAACCTTCTAGTCACAACAGACGAACAGCATTTTTACAGTATAAACTTGCATTATCTTAATAATAATGTTATCGTGATAAATGACTAAAATGACATTGGCATATCTGTTGTGAGTTTAACAGTAAATTACACCAAGTAGTCCAGAACATAGTCCTCACTGTTTACCAAATAAATCTTATATTCATGAATCATATTATACAACAGTTAGGTCACGCAAAGCATGATTAGCTTCCTCTCGAAATATTTTCTTTGGCGGAGAAAGATATACAAACGAATTGGCCAGATTTTTGTCTAAAACGCAAGTTGGTTTGATATCAGCTTCTTGTTTGAATCACAGCCATATAGTTGATGTTCATCTTTATCATATATTATAGAGATACTAATTGCCTTTATATATCCTTCAAGAGTTTGGTTTCTTTTGAGGCATTATGAGAAATAATGGACAATAGATGTGATTTACATGAAAACCTTTGAGCATACCAATCTAATCATAGCACACAACTGCTTGACCACGACCCCTCCGTGTACAAAACTGAAAGACGAGAAAGCTGAGATCTTTCTTCTCGGCTCAACATGCCCACCCTCTGAAATGGGAGATGGGGCTGTCTTATTGGGCAGTAGGGGGGTTGACTTGAAGACCCATCCAGAAAAGCTCGAAAACCAGTCCAGACGTCCTCTGATCAGCTTATTGAAGCTACAATGTGTGCATTTACAGCCCATTTTCTGCACTTACACAATGTATTTACAGAGTCGGTAATGACAAGCCAGATGCCACCTCTTTGTTTGAGTACAGTAGCGTTCCTAGCCTAGTAATTAGGTCCAACAAAATCACCAAGTTCTTTCGCCTGAGAGAGGCAGTATCTTGTCATGACCCTCATTTGGCTGAAACTTTCTGAGACAGAACTGGAGAAGTTCTGCCCGAGCGTGTCCCGACTAAACGCTAGAGCAGCCCCTGTCTGTTTTTGACATTTATCAGCGTTCTTGCTGCGGAGCAGACGCACACACACTTCTTGCGTTGCTGGCAAATCCCACAGCTTTTGGGGAAAGAGCGGAAATATTTGGCCTCACAAAACTGCCCGAAACCAGTGGTAACGTACAAACGACTCTCTCCTCTCTTTCAGCTCTCACCCTAAGTAATGTCGTAAAACACTTTTTGGTACAACACTAATTGTATTCCTTTTCCGTCCGTGCATGTCACATTTTTATGGGTTTACAGATTAAAACTTCTCATTGCATGCAGTTTGGAACTTCTTCGCTAAATATTGAG